TGGCTTGTAATGAAATGTCCACTTTCACAGACACAAACTCAGTCCAAATAAGCTATTCACAAGCTACATACACACACTTGCCTCTGAGCCAGTATTTTTGGAGTCTGAACATGTTTGTGCCCAGTAGCAGGGGGCAGGGGCAGTTTTACAAATGGTGCTAGACAGTTGCTGTTGAAGAAGAAGAAGGAATAATGAACTATGTAGTCTCTTCAGGCAACACCAGCAAATCTATGCTGTAAACTCTGTGATTATTGCATGCAATACTCTGCTCACTCCTTGTGATCACTAGAGCGTTCTATATATTGTGAAGATATCCTGAAGACTCTGTGTGTTTAAGCTACTATACTTTCTCCTCTTAACTGGGGAAGGTAAACCCCTCATATTGCATGATCTTTCTTTCAATTATTCTCTTAGACTCAGGCTTCCTGTTTATCAAACACAGTAACAAAACTGAGTATGATGATTTAAAGCAATTAAACAAACAAATAAGTGAGTGATCATAACAAGTAAATACTAGCAATCCCCTCCACTGACTAGCATTATTTGCCAATTGGTGTAGCCATGACACAAGGGATATTTGGGCTTGGTTAGGTTAAAGGCTGCAGGGGGGAAAAACACTGGAGTTCAATGGAGAAGGGCATTATCTCCTCTATCATGCAACTGGTGCCACCTGGCATTTATACTAGGAAATTACAGAATCAAACTGCCAGCCCCAGAATTCAGGATCAGTGATTGTAAAGAAAAGATGGAGCAGTACTGAAACTGGAGAGGATAGCACTAGGAGGCCTATTAAGAACACATAAATTTTAAATGTCTAAACAGAATTCAATGTACTAGTTTTCTGACGTCCCTCTCTATTACATGTGTGAAGTAGACATTGTTAAGGAACAATAAATGTGCCCTTAGAATAATGCAGGCTTATCTGTGGGAATGGGGATCATTAAATCCTAACATTACATCCCCACTACAGGGAGAGAGATGTATATGGTGCTCTACGAGCTAATCAAAGAAAACTAAACCACAGTTTCAATTTGCCACTTGGTCAAGCTGTCAAGCTCTGTGATAGATCACTACAGATGCCTTAATTAGTTATTCAGATTTTTGCAATGACTGGTCAGGAGCATGCTTGGAGGGGAACTTGGGGCCTGTACCCCTAAATTCTGATTTGGGTAAAAAGGGAATTTCAAGACTGCAGAAAAATCTATAAAACTGTTAGCCTGGATTGGAGTTGGCTGTCAAAAACATAGTCCAGACTTGTGTCAAGAACTCTGACAGGTCCTACCAGGCTGTGCCCACTGGGCCCATTCCAAGGAGGGGATGCTGAGGCTCTTTGTAAGTTTAGAATTTAGTTATCAAGTCACTTTTTCATACTTCTTTTCAGTATTCTGCCAAAAATGATCTGTCTACTGATTATTCCCAATGATCTGTGCTGTCTAGAATTCATGCTTAGTTATTAAAGATTTATTTTATTCATTATTTTGTGGTGAAGAATGCCCAGTCTTTCAGTACTGAATAAGAGAGGAAAAGCAAAGGAGGAAAGGAATACTTAGAAAATCCTGTCCACAATGGGTTATGTTGACCAGTCTTTCAGTACTGAGTAAGAGAGGAAAAGCAAAGGAGGAAAGGAACAGAAACTCCAAAAGCCTCCAATTCACTCTCATGAGTACATATATCCTTAACTTCTGGTGTGCCAAGATCAAACCATAAAAGAGGGAGGGGCAATTCTCTTGATGGTGGCAGGTCAACCCCAGGCAAGAGACGGTTAGAAAGCCCCCCTTGGCTCTTAGCAAACCTTGGTACATGGTGGTTTCCGACTAAGAGGGCGGTTGTGGCAGAGGTTACCTCTACTGACTCCATTGTCTAAATCTTCCAGTTTCAGCTACAATTCATTCTCTCTATTTACATTGCCAGACCCTCTGTGAAAAGCGGGGCCGACAGTGGGGACTCAGCATCACCAGTCCAATAAAAGCCAAATCGGCAGATTGCTGTTTGTGAAGTGCCAGCTGAGTGACACTTTCTTTAAATCTCCTCCTTATATGCTGAGAAACACAGAATAACCTGTATTTATCAGGACTAGAATCAAACTTGCTTTCAGCATTTCTACTGATTGTGGAAGCAAAACCCCAATTTTCTCCTTGATAAGGCCACTAGTTCAGGACTGAATGCTACACGCATAAGTGTAGCTTGGCTGACTGTAAGTGAATAAGTAAACTGGGCTAATATTGTGACCTAAAAACTATCAAAGGCTATTGCCTTCCTGAAAACACAATTTTCCCCTTGAAGTGATTGGTTTTATCCTGTGGCTTTTCTCTGAAATATTTACTGTATTATGTTTACTTTTGAGAAGCTCAGACTTGGGGCTCTTTTTGGGCAGGAACGCACAGGAACGGAGTTCCGGCTGGCTCCCGAGTTGGCCACGCCCAGCAGGAGCTCATTAGCATAACAGGCCACACCCAATAGCAGAAACTCATTAGGATTGGCTACATTAGGGGTGTGTGGCCTAACATGCAAAGGAGTTCCTTCTACAAAAAAAGCCCTGGGTTTTGACAACAAACAAGGGAAACAGAATAAGAAGGGAAAGGTGAGTGTGGCTGGATGACCACACTTCTGGTAACATGGCGGTGTGGCCTAATGTGCTAATGAGTGGTGCTGTCAGGGTGTGGCCCAATATGGTAATGGGGTTTGCTGTTGGGTGTGGCCTATTATGCTAATGAGTTCCTGCTGGGCTTTTTCTACAAAAAGAGCCCTGCGACTCATATTTAATACAGTGAAATTAGGGTTTGTTCAGACATGACTTCAAGCTGACAAGTCTGAATGAGCTGCCTTGTTTCCTGGGTTTGTATGAATGCCTCAGATTTTTTCCCCACCTGAGCTCAGTTTTAGTTCCCTTCTTGAGTGGTGTGTGATGAATTTGTAATTTGCAATTCTATTGGTCCCATGGTTGGCTTAATCGGAGTGTAATCCTAAACATCCTTATTAGGAAACTCAGTGAGACTTTTAAGAAAACATTAGGATTGTGTTGTGAAACAAGAAAGTGGCTTTTGCATTGCAAACAAATTCTAAAAGCAGCTACTGCTAAATCTCTTGCACTTTAGTTTATCAGCTACCTAAAACTAAATGGCATCATTTAAATGACAATCTCTACTGTGAGATTTGAGAATTTTGCTTTATTATTTGCAAATCTTGTCATACAACCATTTAACTGCAATATAGTTTTAACTATCAATGCTGTGATTGATGAAAAATGTAGCACCCATCTCAGACTCTGAAATTTTTAACGTAACCAAATAATAAAGGTAAAGGTTTCCCTTGCTTGAAAGCCAGTCGACTCTGACTCTACAGGGTGGTGCTCATCTCTGTTTCCAAGCCGAAGAGCCAGCACTGTCTGAAGACATTTCCGTGGCCATGGGACCAGCATAACTAAATGCTGAGGCACACAGAACACTGCTACCTTCCCACCAAAGTGGTACCTATTTATCTACTTGTAATTTCTTGCTTTTGAACAGCTAGGTTGGCAGGAGTTGGGGCCAGAGATGGGAGCTCACTCCATCACATGGCACTAGGGTCTCTGACTGCCAAACTACAGACCATCTGGTCTGCAGCTCAGTGTCTTAACCTTTGAGCCACCACAGCCCCTTTTAACCAAATAATACCAAAATATAAAGGTTTTAGTGTTGGTTTTCTCAATATGAAAAGTGTCAAAAAATTAACAATGGCTATGAGGTTCTGATGTATACATCAAGTGCATTCACTTAAGCATTAAGGGTTGCATGCATAAAAATAAAATTCCTTAAAAAGTGAAGTAAAGAAGAGAGCCCCTGCTCATTTGGAGATCCAGATGCAAACCAGGGCATCACATGGACCTTCACAAAAGGACTGGGATACCTGTTTGCATAGCAGAACTTCTGTGAAACAGGATTTTCAAACCAAACTGGTGCTAAACTAAACTGGTACAAGTGTTAGGAGAAGAAAAGCTACTTTTATCATCTATCCTGCTATATGGCTTACAATAAGATTAGCAAGCCAATAGTATTTCTTGCAGGATGAAGCAAAGGAGAATTTGATCAAAATTATGTTAAAAAACAGAGAATATGTATTTTTTATAAAATTCATGTTTAAAGGTGGCATTCATTACCTTTTGTTTTTTTAGATCTCCCCTTCATTATCTTTCTGCAGGATGCTGTTTGTAAGTGGAAAGCTCCACACACTTTATAAATCAATGGGGCAAACCAACCACTATGCATTATTGTGAGTTAGCCTTTTATCAAAGCTATTTAGCCTTTTATCAAAGCTAAGAAATCCAGCCAGCACAGGGGTTCTGGTACATGACCCGTGCATGAGTGCCTGTCCAACACTATGAGTAAAATTCTTAAATGGAGGCTCAGTATTTGCCAGTTAGATAATATACAATTAGCAGTGCAAATAATGCATTCATAGTTTTGAATAGGGTAGCACAACAGTTATGAGTATTTGAATACGTTGTTAAAAGTTGTGTTTTCCAATGGCTGCCTACAGTCCATTTGGCAAAAAACAGGGAAGTATTGGAAAACTCCTAAGCTGAATAGTTTGTGTGCTTTTGGTTTTAAATGACATTCAAGTGTGGAGAAACTGAACTCGCACACACTCTTTTTTCAAGAGGAAGATACTAACCATATTGTCTTGCTTTCCTCACAATAGGGACACAGAATGGTGGTAGTTCTTTAAAAATCCTCCTGAAGCTGGATTTATTAAATAATTAACATAAAAATATATGGAGGCAGTGAGGAGACTGTAATCATGGGTTGCTAGCCCTGCAAAGAAACCTGTGGGAGGAGGGATGAATTTTTTTAAAAAAATGGAATATAAGTAAAAAGGAAAACAGGGTTACCCCACCATTACCGGTCAGTACTTTGAAAGAGAAGTAACATCGGAAGGGCCTGTTTCAAATAACATCATAAGAAATGAAACAATCAGTTGGGGAACTTCTCTGTGTGCTCTTTCAACTAGAAGGCCAAACTTACTCAGTTGAATTGGACCGTGGCCTAAATCTTTTGCCTTTGCCTTTCTTTCTGTTTCCTCCTATATTACCTGAAAAAGAACAAAGGAGAAGATAGCTAAAAACACTTCAGATCCAGAAATGTAGCACTTTAGAGACATTTCCTTTTATTTATATTCTCTTTATTCCCTCTCATCCTTCCCTCCCACAAGCAACGCCTCCCTTGCACAAGCAACCTTCTTTTACATGCGCACGTTCAATATGAAGTTATGATATATTAAAAAAAAGATCCTTGCTTGTCTGCCCTTTGATTGACTATGGCACATTTTTTTTTATAATAGCTGTAGACCAGTTTTGCTGTATTGATGACATTTTATATAATATAGGGCGAAAACCAAAGATTGGTGGATCTCCATAAATTTATAAAAGGTAAATTGCACATGTAGTTACAATTCAAAACAGGTCTGTGCAGGAGGAAAAGAGGTGATTTAATCCTTCAAGCCCCACTCAATTTTGCTGATCGCAACCGAGCTAATCAATTAATAGTGGTTTTTAAGGAAAAAACAGACCTGTCTTTGCAGAATGTGCCCTTTCCCCATTAAATGGCTAGCAATACATGAAGCCTACTTTCAATTACCCAAAGTAAGTGGAAGCTGAAGTTCTTATACCTTCTTACATTGCACAATCAGAACTGTAACCATGCACACATGCAAGTCTACTAACTGACACAGCTCCATTATCTTAACCCTGTCTCTTTTGGCACATAATTTTACTGTTTGGTTGCTGGCAAGCAAAAAAGTACCTAAGCTATCCATTTAAAACCCCAGAGTGTTCCACTGTTCAAGAACACAGAGTAATCTAAATCCTTTAAATGTGTCCATGAGGCATGTTTCTGTATAAAGACACAACACAGGGGTGGGGTGGTGGCGACAAATGGTGCTGGTGCAATAGTCTTTCTTACCTTGCCATGAGTTACTTCTTGGTCTCCCATTTTGACAGATGTCCGAAAGGTTCTTTGCATCTTGGATTCTTTCACTCCATGAATGAGATAATCCGTTTGACCTAGAGTAAATAGCAAGATTTGCATGTGGTTGTTTTTTCTGACAGATTAATTTATAATAATTCCATCATTAATTGGCCTTTTAAAGGTCTGTCTACAATACCTCAATGGTCTGCCTAAAATAGCAGCCCATGTATTTTTTGTCGCGTTTCACTGGTAGTCCAGCAACTTGTACTTTATTATTAATATAATAAAGTGTATTTACTACGATCTTTTACCTACCAACTGTTAAGCAGATATCTGTTGTACAGGGCCCAATTTTAGGTGCTAGACTACCCTGCTACACTAATGTTTGTGGTTCACCTTGTTGTTTGTTTCTATTCTGCCTGAGGTTGCACAAGACTGATTGTCAAACGTGGGCAGCAACATAGATACATGGTAATTAAGGTACTACAGCGCTCCAATGAAAGGTGCAAAGATGTGGATACTGGGTAATCACTGAGGCTTTTGAAAGTGGCTCTGGAGTTCTGAAGACATCACTGAAATCATATAAGAACAAGAGCAGGAAACAAGTTTCTCCTCCCCTTGAAGTGTAGTCCAGTCTCATTTTCCTTCCAGCAAAACAAACTACGTGGCTGAGGAAACTGTTCTTTTCCTGCTTTGTTTTTCCAGAAGAAAGAAGAAGAAGAGATTGGATTTATACTCCACCCTTCACTACCCAGAGGAGTCTCAGAGCAGCTTACAAACTCCTTTCCCTTCCCCTCCCCACAATAGACACCCTGTAAGGTAGGTGGGGCTGAGAGAGCTCTTATCAGAACTACGGCTTACCCAAGGTCATCCAGCCAGGTGCAAGTGGAAGAGTGGGGAATCAAACCCGGTTCTCCCAGATTAGAGTCCGCGCACTAAACCACTACACCAAACTGAAAGCCAGGAAGTAGACAACATTTTTTGCTTTCTAAAATGTGATGTCCTTGAACTTAAACCTGCCTGCAAATCTTACCCTTTGACCTGAAAAAGCTCATGTCTCTGAACTGGCATATTTACTAATCCTAAATTCTAAAGAAAAAAATGTGCATTGACTGTTCTACTGCTTGATCCTTCTGTATACATAACTGCAAGATAAGCATACATATGTCAGTAGTATTTTGCTGTCTCTAATATTTTCCTTGTGCTCTCGCCTCCACCAGATTCTGTAGATGCAAAGGAGTCACAAAGACTGGTCCAGTGGAATTTTTACTTGTTGGACATTACTCCAGCAGCTGTTACCCTACCCTTTCTGATATCAACTAGCCTGCCTGGAAATAAGCACCTGTTATACAAGCAATGGGCCTGTTTTGAATGTTGCAGATAACTGACAAAAGAATGAGGCATCAAACATTCTAGTGCAGACAGACCTTAAGAATTTCATAATGTTGTGCATTAAAGAACAAACAAATGACTGAAATGAGGACTACATGGAAATATGGGGGAGGGGAGAAAAGACATTCAGCATAAACCCATGAAATTTAAGCAATACCCATTTTAAAAATCAAACCACTGCTTCTTAGAAGGAATGAAATTTTGCTCCATTGTGCATAAGTAAAGCCACAATCTTGGAAAAATAATTTTCCAGAGATGTTGATATATTTAGCTATCTGAAAACTTTATCAGTGGAAAACTGCATCATGTTAAGATTTTCGGGAAACCACAATGTTAATTTTCCAACATACATTGACTTTTTAGTCCAGAAACTGGGTACTGCTTGTAAATAACTTTTAAAAATGGTGGCCTGCCACCTTAAAATAAACAGAAACATTACGGGGAGTGAAATTGTAATAATTTTGTAGATGTATCAACATCTGGATTCTTTAAAAAGTGCACTGTTCAACTGCTGCATTCAAAACTTTAAATAATCATATAACCATTTCTTTCCTTAATTTCACATGTGAAAATCCTCAGAAGAGTAAAACATCTGAACATTCTAAAAAAAAAACACCTTGACATTCTCAAATGGAGTAACTGAGGCCTGTCCATTATTAGTTTTATTACATGGCAATTCTTGCAAATTGTTTTGAGATGCTGGTTAAAAAGCAATTTCACAATTGAAAATCTTACTGTTAAAGAAAAAAAAGTTACAAATCAATGTGACCTTGTTAACTACTCGTGATACATTATACGCACAGAGATGAGCCCATCATTTTAAAATGGAGTATATGCCTTTTCTCATAAATGAAGCAACAATGCGTCAGCTAATCAAAGCATCACTTAACCTTTGGCAGCTAGCATTTAACAACGATGCAGCATGCATGCAGGTCTAGAGCCTGGAAGGTCTATGTGTGTCTCTCTTCATGCACAAAGCTCCAGATTCATAAGTAAAGTGCACAAGCATGCCATGAACATATCCCTGCACTGAAGAGTATTAGAAACCTATGCTAACTTGGGGCTTTAGACATGGCCCCGGGGCTTTGCATTAAGATTTAAATTTGGCAGAATCAAAGAGTTAATATCTGAGATATTGCTATGGTCTGATCTGTGATGCAGTAATCCACATGGACAGTCAGTTGTTATACAACCATATGAGCACACGATTATACAGCAGACTGTTTGCATGAAGCAGTTTCTCAAGAAGGTCCAGCATTTCTGTTTCAAACTTGACCCAAACACATGAGAAGTCACTCATGAAAAGTAACTATTCATGTGATGTAGCAACCATGTATTGCAGGCTGTATTGCAGGCAGCCACCCATACTGATTACTGCATTCACAAATCAGGCCTTTGGTCACCAGCAGAGAGACAAATGCAAGCTGGGCAAGTCAACTGGGTATGCTGCTAGAAACAAAAAGCACAGAACATTAAGGATAAAATTCAGCACCACGTTCTAACATTTATATTAATCCATTACATTTCACAACCGGTAATGTATGTATGACAATATCCCCATTCTTTGATTACTTGATCATAATATAAAATGTATGGATATATACAGGCAATAGTTTGCAATATTTTTGCTTGATTATGAACTGGCATATTTCATAAGCAGCAAATAAGTTGCTTCCAAGCATGGAGATGAAGATCAGATAACTAAGGTGACAACCAAATGTATAGTTACCACTGACCTCAGGTGTAGTAGCTAAGCTAAAATATCATATCTCAGGAAATGATATTTCTTTCAGCTTGAATTTTAGTACTCAAAAATATAAACCTTTTTTGCAGGGCAAGATGGAGGATACAAATAATCAGTAATCAAAGATTGAAGGAGTCACTTTTAACACAATTCCACAAAAGGAAGGAAGGAAGTAATCAAACCTGCTGCAAAACAATGAAAGGTTCTGACTAATGGAATAATGTGTGATGGAACAGGTAGAAATCTGAAAATGCGACAGAAAAGCAGACCTCTTCTTAGAACTAGACGCAGAGTTTGTGCTGACTCCAGGAGGCATGTCGCTATAAAAGGAGTCGGCCTCACCAGGCTTTTTTACATAATCTCCCTGAGGAATTTGTCTAAAGCATAATGAACATTTTCAAGTCAGAAACAAACACATGCAGATACCCAATATATGTAACATATATATTCAGCACAGGAAAAAAAAGAGTTAAGAGATGAGACTAAGATATTTTGTCACATAACTATGCAAATAAAAAAACTCAGACAACATCCTCCTTGAAATAATTAGCATCTTTAAGGCTTCTACAAACAACAGTTTCAACAATTTGATTTAGAATCTTTTGGGATTGAGAACGGGATCCACTTGGGTACTGAAACCCTGTTGAGATCACATCTTGTCACTTCTACCCTTCCTCTTCCCGCCCCTTTCCAACCTCTTGCAATGCCCCCCAACAAATGGCCAATAGAAAGAATCTGTAAAGAAGCCTTTTGTAATTAACAGGTAACCACTGGAAGACCTCCAATTGTGTCCAGGTGTAACCTGTGGATAGTTGAGTGGATTCTCCTACAGTTGACATGTGACCAGAAAGACATTTGCCTCCTTCTTCTTCCCTCCCTCCAGACCACCAAAAAAGCCAATTGAGAGATGACTTGCTCCCCTCCCCTTTTTAAAAAAACAAACAAACAACCAAATACAATAAGAGAGGTTCTTTGTACATTCTCATCCACTACAAAGTTTTTTGTTTGTTTCAAATCCATTTAGGTTGAAACAAAGGAGAGGGGGGAAACACAAGATTTCTTTCCCACAATATTTACTTAAATGTTATAAAAAGACTGAATTTTTAAAAATATCAATTGCAGGAATCAATTTAATTGGATTTACTTGTGATCAAAGTATACTTCTTACCATTAAAAGAAGCAACTTTTAAAATTTAAGTTGTGTTAATAGCTAGTGATTTTGGAAGCATTTCTTAAAGGGTAGTATCTTTAGTTTCCAAGTAGTAACCTGGCACTGTTCCAGTTAATTCACTGCAGCATACATTTATTTTACAGCTAATAGGGACTGTAGAAATGCAGCTTCCCTTACCGCCACAGAAAGGGAGGGGGCTTTTTTATTACCCTGACAAGTTAAAAAGAGTTAAATCCTAGTCTGAACTTCAATTTTTTTTTTACAAAAATAATAATTTAAAGCTGTATGTCTATGGCAGATTTTTAAAGAACAGAAAATATTTCTGAATTTCTCCAAGATTCTCTTGTACAAAAGAGACTGGCTGCAGAATAGATGGCACAATGTCGTGTGGGTGGGGAATAAGAGTAAACAGCGCTAATTCTCATTCGAGCATTCATATTTCCCTTTCCTCAGATCCTGAATAAATGAGAAGATAAGGGAACACTCTGACTGTGTGCTAGGAAGGAAACATTTAATCAATATTTAATTCCACTCCTAGGTTGCTTCCATATGGCAAGGACTTTGCATGTAAACTCTCATTGCCATTGCAAATGCAGAGGCATCCACAGCAGCAGCTGAGCATCCACATGACAGTTCTCCTTAAACTTTGACTGACTCGCCCCCCCATAGTTGCTATCCTTCCCTATGTCACAACTGAGCTTAAAAAAAAATTGGCAATTCCAGTATTGCCAGAGTATTATAAGGCTACAGCAATATAACAATCACATTTTTAAAAACACCAAAAAAAGCCCTCTGATTGTGTGAAGGGAAAATGATAACAACAGAAGGCTGAGTCAAGGGAAATAGCGCGGGGAGGTGGGGAAGAGACCTGCAAAAAATGTTCCCTTTCCGGCCCATCACTGTGTGCAAATGTGTTTTGACTGTTTCCAAAACATCGTATCAAACCAGGTTTGGGAAGATTAGTACAAAGCAAGGGGGAAACCTGGACAGTGGACAATTAGGGGACAACAACAATGATCTAGAACTGCTCCAGAAAAAGAAGAGTGGTTTTAAGATGCTCTATGCATACAACAGAAAAGTAGGTAGTTCCATGGGTGTAAACAAGGCATGAGGCTATTGGCATTAGCTGACATTCCTACTCTTTGTCAACAAAGCCTGAATCTGAACAAAGGCAAAGTCTAATCCAAGTTCACTTCAGACATTATTATAGTCTAGGTTCATTTGAAAATTCTTAGTGAAGGACTGTTACACAGTAGCCAAACCTTAATTTGTTTTGAAAACAAAGTTCAACATTATGGGCCCTAAGAAAGTAAAGCTGTAAGGTGTATCTTTTAATAGAATACAGGAATCCAAGTCCTCAGGCAGAATACATTACTGCAAAGAGAAGAGCCAAATAAATTGGAGGGAAAAGCTCTGTGTATGCAAAGATCTTTAAACTGAGTTGAATGGAGGAAGGCAGCTGAGACCTAGTATGGAATACAAAACTATCTTATACTGACTCAAATCACTGTATCTTCTCCTTTGTATTGTCTGCACCAGCCACCAAAGGTTATTTATTTAACAGGAGATGCCAAGGATCGAACCTGGGACCTTCTGTAAACAAAGCATGGCTAATTTGAAGCCATAGCCCATCCCCAAAATATGACTTTCTCAAAATAAGCATATCCCCAGGTAGACGAAATATAGGGGCCACCATTCCAAGCCTGCTCAGACAATGTAGCCACACTGCTTTTTCACCTACCTCTGTCTTCGATAGTTTCTTACAAGAGGAGGGAAGAGAGAAAGAGTGAGTTACCACATCGTCTTTGTTATCACTCTATTCAGTGTTACAAACAAAAAAGGTATCAAATATTTAAGAAGCCCTAGCAGAAATAGACTATTACTCTTTTTACTAAGTAAGCTGTCACTGAAAGGGAAAAAGAAAACATATTTCATAGCAATGTGGGGGAAATGCATGCATGGAAGCATCTGTTTATGTTTGAAATACGTAATCTAAGTGTAGGAAAGGAAAGCCCTGTTTGAGGAAAAGAAAATTCTGCTTTATTGAAAGTGTAAAAATATTGCCCTGGGTGATCCACATGGACTACAACTTACATATTTTTTGCTCAAGAAGCAAGAGCATAATCTCTTCTGTTATTTTTGTAGCACTATCTTACATCATAAACTGATCTAGCATAAGAAGAGCCCTGCTGGATCAGACCACCTGCTCCTGCATTCCTACGGGGCCAGCCAGATGTAACCAAGATTTGGAAGGCAACATGCCTCTCCCCGGCTCCCCAGCAACTGCTGTTCAGAGGCACATGACCTGTGAACCAGGAGGTTCCATTCAGCTATCATAGCCAATAAACTTAACTCCCATGAATACGTCCAGTCTTCCTTTAAAGCCATCTAAACCAATGACCATCCAGTACATCTTGTGGCAGTGAATTCCAGGAGTTAATGAAGCAGTGAGCTAAGAAGTGATTTCTTTTGTCTCTCCTGAATCTCTCTATTCTCTCTCTCTTCATTTTCTCCACACCTTTATTCATAATAAGTATTAATACTATTGCTGTGCATGGAGTTTAAGAATCGGATTACTCAGTACACTTTACCAAAAGTTTTCTTAATTTTAAGAAGATGTACTTTCAGTAGAGTTAAGTTATATAGTAATTTTCTCTTGTCTGGACAATACTTTTTCAGTGTAATTGCTATATTTAGATGGACATACTCAGGGCAGGACCTAGCCAAATGAGGCCCTTGATGAGGAGAACCTCTGGCACTCCCTTCTTTGAGTTGGTATGACTTTGAATACCTTATTTTTTATTGTACTGTATTTGAGGCACGATATACACACATGATTTATGTGTGTGTATATGTGTAAAGTGCCGTCAAGTTGCAGCCAACTTATGTCAACTCCAGCACAGGGTTTTCAAGTCAAATGAGGAGCAAAGGTGGTTTCCCATTGCCTTCCTCCACAGAGTCTTCCTTGGTGGTCTCCCTTCCAAGTACCAACCCTGCTGAGTTTCTGAGATCTGACAATATTAGGCTATACCATGCCACAGGTCATCCACATGATTTATACTTTGCACTGTCAAATCTCTATCCAGGTCATCTCCACATGATTTATACTTGTCATATAAGACTATAAGTTTGCACTGTCAAATCTCTATCCAGGTCATATATAAATAAAAATAAGCTCCTTTTACATTTTAAGAATAACTGAGATATACTATCAACTATGCATCAATATTGGGTGGACCAGTATTAAACAGACTTACACAGTAAGTGATAGCTTTAGAACAGTAACCCTGGTCATTGGGTTTGTACTATTTGTTTCACTTTGTTGAGCAGATAGTTGAGCAATAGGCACCTTCCAGGTTGGTGCCCAGGAAGTTGTCTGGATCAGTTACCATTTAATTGTGCTCTGGACACACTTAAGATGGGTGTGCAACCAATACTTAATTAAAAACAAAAAGTACTCCAATAATGACAGAGTTGTACTGGAAAATGGTTGTTAACTATTAGACAAATAGGGTTGGATTCTAAAGGATCCACTAACAGTTGCACCTTCCTTCCATGCAAGGAACCCTCTTCCACCAAATAAGGCATGTTCCAACAGAGACAGGTCATTAGTAACACATAATATTTGGATTCAACCCATATTTTTTCTGATGACGCTGGCATCAAAGCAGGTAGCACTTTATCCAGCAGGACTAATGCAACGAGCCGAGTAAATGTAAAGAAAGTGGACTGGAAAGTTACCCAAAGGTATTTAAAATGTGACTGACTGCATTTATTCCCCATTATCATGCTTCTTTTGTTCAGTGAACTGTGTAATATTCTCTTTCATCTACATAGCTTGAGAATACTGAAACCTGCCAGCATGTCAACTGGTTCATATTTTAATTTAGTAAAAAATATATAAATTACTTACTTGTAACCCCAAGCAGTTATGCACAGAATGAGAGCCAACACTAAAATGGTACCAGCAATGGCACCTATAATAATATTTGTGCTAGCCACACCTGGATAAAAGAAAAGAATCTGAGAACAGTGCATTTTTGGGAAAGTACATAAAATCACAAAGCTCCTTAAAACATCTGTGTGAATTTCTGAAATAACCTTCCTGAAGCAGAGGGATGCTGGATTAATTTGTGTAAGGAAATTTTGTGCTCTGGTGTTTGAGTTGCAGCACTCTGGGCCCAGGCGGTTTTCTTTCTCTCATTTACCATTCCTCCCATTTAATTTCTTCTAATGCATAAGCCAATATTATAACTGGTGGCAGAATGGTGGGCACCTTGGGGAGACATCTGATAACATTTATTTTCATGACTCAATGGATTGATTTTCCTTATTTTCAGGAAGCTACCCAACTGCAACAGATCCTGCCTTGAAGACTGCAGCTTGGCTAGATTTCTAGAGTCATCTGGAGGAATTTGCTTTGTGTCTTACTGAGTTTTTTAGGTCAAGGACCAGCAAATTCAGACTGCATTGTTTCTGGTAATCTCTGTGACTAGACTGCACTAGGTTCTTGCTAGGCATCATCAAATGCAAGACACTGCTTAGTGTTTTGTGTAATGGCAAACTCTCTGAACTATACTTGATTTCAGAATCAAGACAAAGTAGAAATAAAACTGTTTTAAATACTTAATTAACTCAGAAAGCTCTATTAGTTTCTCACTATAATGACATACAGCATAGCTATAACTCCGAAACCACACATAGCAAAATAATACATAATGTTTCATGTGGAATAAATTAAATAATTAAAGTTTCTTGGCAACTCAAGATGTAGCTTCTCATTGCATATTTATTTGATCAATCTACTACCCAAGCTCCCTCCTATCAACCTCTATTTGGGGAAATGTATGTCTCTATAATTCTGCCCAACAGACAAGCAGCAGAATTACCCAGGGTCAATGGAGGTTGCCTGTTCTGCCTCTGCATGAATCATTGCTTGGGGCTTACCTCCTCCCAATGACATGCAGTATGAGTTTCTCTGAAACTGGGTGGTTCCAACTCTTACAACACCCTCTAAACCAAAGACTTTTCAGGATAAAGAGCAAAGAATATCTCCAATTCTGAAAAAAAAGTGTTTCTGAACTATCAAAGGGGGAGGGCTAAAGACTAGAAGCCAGCTGTCTACAAGAGCCACAGAGGCCAAAAGAATGTGTAGTTGCAGAACCCTGCATGTTTCTTCAACTTTCAAAGCTATCAATATGCTAAAATCTAAAGGAAGCTGTGTTGGGTTAACTAGACAACATTCTAAGAATGTCATGTTCAGAGTTCCCACGCATTATAGTTTGCACATACCAGTTGCATAGGGGCCCTGTTCAGACAACAAATGAATGTACCATTTTTTAATGGGCCTGGGGAACTGCTATTTGCCCACCAAATATTACAGCACAATCTTTAATTAACCAGAATCCACTCCATCAGAAGCAACAGCCTACAATTGCTTAAAGCACAAACATTTGTTAGCACTAACAATATGCTCTGTTGTTTCTACAGTGTGGAAAGTAAAGACTCATTGTACCTTCCTTATGGAGTCAGATCAGAGATGCCGATAAGCATTTCATTATTTATTTATTTATTCAAAAATAATTATATCCTCCTTTTTTCCCAATCAATGGAACTCAAAGAGGCATACAAATAGCACTGCACAGCCTACATCTCACCTGGAGTGGTAATATTATTGACACTTTTTTGTTCAGCGAGGCTGATGTTGCAATCTTCACCTGTCCAGAATGGATCACAGACACACTGTATTTCATTACTGCAAACCTACAGTAAGATAAAACCCGTTATTTTTAGATATTCCACATGCTCTCATGCTCAGTTTGTAATATTAATCCCTAATCAAAAGTCAAAGGAGCAGAGAGAGAGAGAGAGAGAGAGAGAGAGAGAGAGAGTTACGTGGGTGTTTAAAGGTGTCCAAGAAAAAGCTTGAAAGTATAGAAGTTGTTCCTACATTGATCTCCACCACGGATAGCAGATATGTTGTGATGGTGATTACTGGTCCCCATCAAGAGGCATCCCTACAAGGGTCAGGAAGAATTTCAAGCTCCTGAACTCATATGCAAATGGCCATCTGCATTGGGATGCCCACTTTACCTTTTTAGATCCACTGCCTTACAGTAAAAAGATCACACAGATTGCTTCTTCCCTGAAATTTCTATGCAACAGAAACTGTCATCTACATTCAGGAGGTCCCTGTGTGACATCCTCTCAGAGAGGCCTGTACAACACAATAACAGTGGGAACAGAGGCCCTCCTGCAAACTTTGAATTGGCAAAGCCCCAACGGGAGTTCTGTCACCCCAGCCTGCACAAGTTTTTTCAGTCATTAATAAAGGGACAAATCAGGATCAGGGTAATGCTGTAGACATAGCATATCTTGATTTCAGTAAGGCTTTTGATAAGGTTCCACGGGGATTTTTTTTTTCTGGGGGAACGTGGCAGAACGGAGTTCCAGAACCTCTTTGTAGAAACAAAATTCTCAAAAAATGTTTAAAAGTTCATGAGGGGCACTGGAGGAGCATGACATCCTTGTGACATCACAACAGTATTAAAATAAAATTTAAAAATAAGATTTAAATGAGAGGATGCCCAGTAGTGGCTGTGGGTGAGCAGAGAAGCAGCCAGACAGCACAGGGAACTTGTTGCTCTTGCCAAGTAGAGGTAAGTCCTTAGCATATGAAAATAATATTGTATCAAGGAATCCCATGTGTTTCTCCTTCATCCCCCTCTTGAGAGTTCCAGCTCCTCTTTTTCCAGAAAAAAAGCCCTGAGTTCCACATAATATTCTTGTTGACAAGTTGGTAAAATGTGGTTTGGTTCCTATTACTGTTAGGTGGACCTGTAACTGGTTGACAGAATGCACCTAAAGAGTGCTTGTTAATGGTTCGTCATCCTCTTGCAGAGGAGTGACAAGCCTCAGGGATCTGTCCTGGGACCTGTTTCATTCAACATCTTTAGAATGGTCCCTTCCAATGCCATGATTCTATGAAATACCAGAGAATGGGATAACCAATATGTCCAAGAGCTTCAATGACTGCCCTGGATTGAAACATAGGAACAGTTCTATTGCTTTACCGTAGGATACTCGTATTTTTAAAGTTAAGCACAAGAGCAAGTATTCCCCTTGTTTGCAATTGTTTCTGAAAGTAAATAATATCAATTTATATAGCTGACCCATCTGGGTAAGCTTCAATAATTAAATGAATAATTAGTAACATTAAGGTATTCATTAAGTGAAACAGAAATGTGTGTTTCTCGCTTCAGATGCTAAAGAATACGCATACTCCATGTCCCGAACAAATGTTGCCTCCTGTGCTTCCTGGGCAGGAGCTGAAGTTAAATGAATCCATAGCAAGACATTTGTGTTCCCAGCATATCCTGTCAGGGCCACAGGGAGTCCCATCTTCTACATAGCCAAGATCTGCATCTTCCTCTAGCTTAACATGACCACCACTGCAAAACAAACAGAAACAACCCACTGTCAAATGAAGTTCACCTTTTTACTACTATCCAGATATTTTCTTACTTTCTTTCAAGATTCATAATGTGATAACGCTAGACAACAGCAGGACTGGTTTTCTTTCCATAGTAAATGTGTAAGCCACAAAAAGTTGTATCCTACCAGCTTTTTCGGGAGGAAACAGGAAGATGGGGCAGCTTTTAACCTCTGAAAGGTTAAACCAAGGATTGTGGGGCCCACATGAACAAAAGTCACATGGAATCAGAATTACACTGAGGAAAGGAATCTGGCAAGATTAAGCAGGAAAGCTAGTAGGATACAACTCCCACCCTCACTCAAAATTCCCTGGTACTCAGCTACCTAGCTTTTACGTCACATATATCACACTGAATTTTACCTGCAGTTATAGGATTTCACCAAAGTTTGGAAAGAAGATGATGTGATTTCACCTTCAAGTTCACCAAGTCTTGGGGTGTTAAAGATGATGTTGGAGCACAGAAGATAGCCACAAAGTACATCCCTGTAAGGAAAGATTTAACAGGCATCTGTTTATTTATTTATTTACATTATTTATAGTCAGTCTTTCTCAATGAGATTCAAGGCAGATTACACAGTATAAGTCAATATGATTAAACACAGTCTAATAGAAAACAGTTATGTTTGTAAGAGTGAGGAAGTAAGTAAACTACATTGAATCTCTGCAAATTCTCAGTTCTCAGAAAAGAATACCATTACCCTTGGAAATGTATAGGACCAAAGTCAATGCAAGCAAGGAGATAAATGAACAGTGTTTTAAAGGGAAACAGCACCCGCACAGGATCCCTGTTCAGTTTGGGTAATGCTGCAGAGGGAGAAAGTACACCCATGACTGTAGTGTTGTCAAATGAAACTAACCACTACCCTCTTGCACACACATTCAGTAGCTCTGAAAAGGAAACACAAGATAGGCAAGAAGAGGGTGCCTGCCCTCCGTCTCTTCAATTCCTAACAAAAGCCTGGGGAATATTAGTTTCAGTCAGCAAGACCACATGAGAGAAGCATACCCACACTCTCCCTGGACCACACTGCACCCACACAGTAGCTATTTCCCCTTCCCAAAACAAAGCAACAACAAAAAATCCCATTTGTGAAATATGTTCAAAGATTTCCCAGCATCACCTCATTTAGTCCTCAAAGGCCCTTTTTAAAAGTTCTTTAAAGAAAAATCACATAACAGCAGTAAGCCTTCCCTCCCACTTAATCTACAGTCTCACTACCAGTCCTCTGCTGTGAAGAAGTCTTTTCTGTACATCTTCTATAGAAGCACATGATAATTTCCCAGACAACTGGGATTGGTGTTTTGCTTTTTTGTTTTTTTCACTATGTGGAAGTCATCTAGCATTGCAAGTGAGTGTGGAAAACAGGTCTTGAATATTTAGACTGGATTCCAGTAGCACCTTAGAGACCAACAAAACTTTCAGGTAGAAAGCTTTCAAGAGTCAAAGCTCCCTTTGTCAGACACAGCAGAGTAGAAATGTAGGTCTGAGTCCCTCTATCCTAGTCAGAAGGTGGGAGGGGTGTTGTAAAGAACGCTTGTAAAGGATGTAAAGGTACAATGTATATTGTAACCAGCCTGATTAGAGCAGAGGGAAAATGCAGAAAATTAGCATCTGTAGTGAGATAAAAATCTTGAAAGCTTATATACCCGGAAACTCTTGTTAGTCTCTAAGGTGCTACTGGACTCAAATCTAACAGTTCTACTGCAAAACAAAGTTTAGAGTCCAGTGGCACCTTTACGACCTACAAAGTTTTATCTGAAGTGTAACCTTTTGTGTGCAAAGTACACTTCTTCAGACAAATGGAATAAAATTTTATTTATTTATTTATTTTGCGATTTCTATCCCGCCCTACCCAGTGGCTCAGGGGTCCTCAAGGGTCGCTAACAGGAATTTCCTCAAGGGTCGCTAACAGGAAAAAAGAGAGTGGGGCAGCCGTTAGGAGGAGCTGCTCAGAGCCAAGATGCAGATGCAGAGCTAAAATTGGATCAGGTGGCCTGGTAAGATCAGTGGACAGTAGCAAATCTGCACATAAATGCAACAGTTAACAAAAAGATGTGACAATGAAGCTAGAGTCCAGCAGAACCCACAAGTAACCCTTGAGGAGATTTTATTCCATTTGTCTGAAGAAGTGTGCTTTGCACATGGAAGCTTAAACTTTGAATAAAACTTTATTGGTCTGAAAGGTGCCACTGGACTCAAACGTTATTCTGCTGCTTCAGACCAACACGGCTACCCACCTGGATAGTTCTGCTGTAGACCAACATGGCTACCCTCTGAAACAGGTCTTGAATATGAGGGTTTTGTTGTTGTTGTTGTTGTTGTGTGAAGCTATGGCCATCAGACCACAAGAAACCCATCAAAAAGGCCAACTTTTAGATTAAAAATGAGGCCAACCTTTAGATGTAGAGATGTGACCTGCTAACAACTCACTCCAAATTCAGCCTCTGGGAGTAAGGGTGGTGGACAACAGTAATGAAATTGGCTAGAAAAATAGATGCAGCTGGATACTATGGAGGAGAACGTTTTAGGGACTTGCCAATGTGAGTGTCTGGGTCTGAGACAACACATTAGATTCGGTTCCTTGCAGAACGGTGTGCATAACCTACAATGTTTGGGGAAAACAATTCTAAAATAAATTAAAGTTACTTTGTGAACAAAGTAGTTTAACTTACTGGTTTTCACACTGTATCCAAGTATCTCTGTTTCTGCCACAGTTACCTTTCTCAGTCCCTTCTATATTCAGTCTATCATAGCAATATTTGTCAGCAGCTGTCACATCTAAAAACAGAAGTACATTTATTTAGTAATAACATCTATCTTTTTTTAAAAGGGAACTGTAATCACAAAGACTGAAACCAGAGTACAACCTATAAAATATATTCTAGGTACTCCAGTCATTTTGTTAGATCCTGAGAATCCATCCTGGAGCCTTCTGCCTCTGCTAGCAGAATGGATCCATGGGGTCCAACATCCCTGCCTGAAGGGCTTTCAATTCAAGTGTACATAAGAACATAAGAACATAAGAGATGCCAATGTTGGATCAGGCCAAAGACCCATCCAGTCCAACACTCTGTATCACACAGTGGCCAGAAATACCAGTGCCATCAGGAGGTCCACCAGTGGGGCCAGGACATTAGAAGCCCTCCCACTGTGTACACAGTGCCCCAGAGCTCAGGGATAGGGAGAAATAAAAGGGAATTGGAATGTGAAATGGATAATAGTGTATAAAGCACTGCATCTTTATGAAAGCGCACAAGTTCGTGGTTGTTTTCTTTTTAGGAACTTGCAGTGTTTC